CAAAACGCGACCCATCAATTTCCTCCTCTGGTGCGACCCCCATCCCACACCCTACCTAACGCCCCTTGTAAACCGTCGAATTCTACCAGTTTTCTACCACTTCTTCATAGCAATTATCCATTTTTCTTGGAGACTGCCGTCGAGCAGAGGGATGGAGGGTGCATAGAGCGCCAGTGAAACGGGAAAACCCGAAAAGGTCGGCACTAGGAAACATTTTCCTTAAAGGCAAACACGATACCCCTACAGGTTGGGGATTCCCGCGATTAGACATCCCCTGAGTGGCAAACCCCCAAAGATTCTGGCCTACCACCTCGCACAGGAAGAATCCAGCCCGTGAACAATCTCATTGTATGTCTTTGGAGTAATTCAAGGAGATATCCCACCATACAGTAACACGAAATAAAAGTTCACCAATCGCTCACCCATCACGGAAGCTTGCCAAACCAACAGCCTGCTTGACAATTGCTTTGCACTCTTATTTTAACAGATTTGGTTTTCAAGCATTATCAAGATACCCCTAAAACACAAAGGACGACTCATAGGAAACTACTACTATGTAGAAAGAAAGTTCTTAAAAGTACAACATGCTTCAAAACAATTACCTGGACGAAGGTAGATCCTGAGCCGGAAGCAGTTGATTTTTGTCCCGTAACGAACCCTCCAATAGGAAGGGCATAGAGCTGTAAAACTCAACTTAGGAGCACTCAAGGACATAAGAGCGCGTTCACACTTGGCGATCCAATCGCTTCTATCGCGCGATTGAATCGCACTAGTGAATGAATCGCGCAGTATGAACGCGCTCTGAGCAATATTTTCATGAATCAGAGAAAAAAAACAACAACTTAGTACCTGTCCACCGCACTTCTCGTCCCAGCCAGCCACTAGCACTGATGCCGACAACTGATCACGATAATTATAGAGGAATTTACGGAAAATCTGTGTAGCCCGATAAATAGTGACAGGTTCATTCTCCAGCATTCTGAAGAATATGTAGGCTTCGGCATAGAGGAGACTCAGGCTCGAGAGACCAAATCCTCACATCTGCGCAGAATTTAGAGAATAACTTTACTTACGTATAAACTTCGAGGTGATACTTGACTATATCAGCAATAGCTTGAGTGTCTGCTGCGGTACCAGAACGACATACGACCAAAGTGGTCGGTGATAGGTGTGATTTTGTTCGTAGCTCGAGAGGAAATGAAAGAACTGCAAAACTTCGTTTTAACTGAAATTCGTGTCCAACAGCATGACCATGTATGGTGTTAGAAGAATCGGAAAAAGAACATTTCACAGTAAGTAAAAGGATGAAACACCCGCTGCTAAATAACTCCAATTTGGGGCCAGTCATACACTCTGCTTCTATTCCAGAAAATTCCTGCAGAATACGACCCATCCCACTGAAATATCCTTCTCGAGTAGGACCCCCCCCAGCCCTACACCCCATTCCACCTTCCACTTTCGGACATATTTCTAAAATTTTCCCATTCTTTCCCAAAAAAAGCGTCGAGCGTGAGTATATGGCGCACTAAAGGTGGGGCAAAGCTGAGGAACCCCAATCTACGGCTTGTCCTGGACAGTTACTTGCGGAACCAATTAAGGTACCAATCAAGCAATCCCAGAGAGATGATATGATTCGCCTGAAAGAATCGGTACTAGCCATTATCGCCAAACTGCCAGAGCGGTGAGTGGAGACAATGAAAACAACATCTCAACAAACTTGGGAGTTCATGCAAAAAAATTCACTAACTACATTACCCCAAAAAAATTGCGGCTTGAAGCGAATGATAGCATAAGCACTGGCTGAAAAGCCTTGAACCACGCATGGAACCGTCAGGCCGCTTTTAGTGACAACGTTTGCCTCCATAATACGTTCCCGACCGCGTGCGTGACATGCACGGTGTGTCAAATATTTTTCTTTCTACGCTTTTTCCTGTAGCTCATTTGGCATCTGCTTCATGTTCTGAACACTTCCTGGAGATGGAATACACACAGCCCACAGGGAAAAGAAAAAACAGAATCAAATTACGGATTATTCTTGTGAATTGTGACGAAAAGATGCGCACATCCTCGCAGAGCGGCAACCCGCAATACGTTAACCATAAGTCCGAAAAAATCTCCCGAGCCAATCGAAAAGAACACTTCTTATAAAAGCAGACGGCATTGAACCAAGGCACGATCACACGGTGAGACCAAAAGCGTCTGTTTTACAAGGAATGCGAATTTCCATTGTATTCTCAGGGAAAGAACTCATGGTCAGACATATTAGCCTCACTTCTTCCTAACTCTTGTTGAAGACTATTTGAAGACTGAGTTGGAAAAATACAGTAGCACTATCTATCCCTCACCCATACCCACCTTTGAACTATTCCCCGAATATTGCTGGTCCTCGTATTTTGAAAGACTGACGCAATATTCGTGCACAGAAGATCTCACCCGCATCGAATTTTCAGCTAAATATGCCACCCGGGACAAATTCCAAAAAAAACAAGCACTAGCTTTAAAAAGCGAGACGATAATTGTTAACAATACTAACAATAAATAGGCATTAATATCGGAGTAGAACGAGTGAAGCTTACTTACCCTGCACTGGTTCTCGGGGATAAAAAATTTTCGCGTTTTCCTACAACTACGCCACCATTGAATTCCATGGCAATGAGGGTAGTCTAAAGAAGGGACTTTTCTGTGAAAAAGGAAGAGTTGTAGCAAGCTTTCAAACAAGTTGAGATAATTCAGAATTTGTGCATGCATCAATCACTGTGCTACAGTCATCAGTTGGGCGAAGAAGCCTAAGGAACAACACCAAGCGAATGCAGACAAGGTTCCACTGGACCTTTCTGGAAGCGTTTTAAGAATTTTTCTCGGCACCGCCCACATCGGAGCACGCTACGCCCATAAAGGGCGCAGTCGCAGACAACAACAGACAACTCTGCCGCAATCATGTAGAAATGAACGAAATCGCTGAACTTACACCAGTACTGATGGGATCATGTGGATAGTATCCAATAGCTGGGATCGCTTCGCGTTTTTCATCAGGCATGACATCCATTCTTGAACTGAAATGCGGTAACAACTGAATATCGCTAGAGGCGGAACTCCTAAAGTGAGCAAAGTTGAAAGCTTCTTGCCATCAGGCAGAAATTTTCGGTAGAACGTCGTTTACTAGACCAAAAATTAGCGAAAGTGAGAAAGAGTGGAAATTTGATGAAACCACGAAGATTAGCGAAAGTGAAAAAGAATGGAAATTCAATGAATCTGCGAAGATAATCGAGAGTGTTCTATTTTAATGGACTAAAACCCTCATTTTACAACCAGAAAACGTTCCTAACGACAATGTTACCGTAAAGTGAGAGTTATTATTACTATTGGTTACTATCTACTTAACTTTTTGTCTGCCCATGTAAACGTGCAAGAGTGCGTTTTTGCAGCAGCATCTTCAGTGCCTGTCAGCGCTTTGAGCTTTTGAGTGACCGGGAAAGCATTGGTATCGTCCAGCTTTTTGAGAGTCCGCGTGCGTTCTCAGCGATAATCGATTGCATACTTCTCTAGTCGCTCAAAACGCTCAAAATGCTGCCGCAAAGTATGAACGCACTCTCCTAACAAAATGAGACTCCGCCTAGGCTTCGGGATACATACTCAGCATATCAAGTGCTTTGTTGGGACAACTACATCCAAGAAAGGCTCATCCGGAAAGTTCATAAGAGAAGTTCATTGGGAAACGATAGTACGCCTTAATTTGCACATATGAACACTCGCAAAAGTAGTGCTCAGGAATAACCAATACTTGCATTCAAAAAAAGGTATGAAAAGATGGCATCATGACAAAGCATTTAAATCCTTGTTCACTGGATGGGAATTCGACAGCAATACCTACCGCAATATATATTTAAACTTTTCCTTCAGAACTAAATAAGCCAACCGCTTTGAACACTTCTGTCTGATATGAGTAAGTTAAAAGAATTATTCGAACACTATTCTTGCAAGTCTAAAGGAAAGAAAAAAGTCCAAATGGAGTAAGCTCGTTCCGAAGATGAGGTGAATTTGATGATTTGGAAAAGTGCCAAGCATGACAATTCGCATTCGAATTGGTGCGCTTACAGTAGACCTGCACATCAACATGGGTCGGACGTTTGCCAAAGTTGCAAAATTTTGGGATTCTCATTCGCAGCGGTCGTTGGTCTTACGAGGCGGCTGGGTTGAGTTCTTTCTTCATTTTCTTTCCAGGGATATTTGAATAGGCAACATTGGAGTCGGACACTTACAGAAAAAAAATCTCCGGGAAGGTTCTCGAGCCTTAAACTTTCACGAGTTCTCATAGCCTATTAAGAAAATATCCTAGGAGCTGTAGTAGTATTCGTTTTCCTTCCTTAGCGTTTTTTTGTCTTTATATTGGAGAAGATTCTGTTAAGTCGTTTTGCATGTGAATTAGGAGTCCTGCTGAGTCATTTCCCAGAAGCATCTTTTTTTTGCTTCTGCTTCCTGTTCAAAAGTTCATTTTCCCCTACAATGACGTTTCCTGTTTTTACACTGATGACGTTGAAGTTGTCCGCCTTGTGACAATATTTCCCGTTCATGTTTTTACTCGTATTACGGCAATCATTTTTCAGAGTGTGATGTCGGACACGGAATGTTATAGGTGCCACGAAACCGGCCACATCGCTCGCAACTGTCCTAGTGGAGGAGAATCAGGCGGTCGAAGCGGAGGTGCTACTTGGTGGTGTTTGGGGTGTTGAGTACGCTTAGGTAATTCGATGTTTTCGTCTCCATTACCCCTCAAATTGTGTTGTCAGCAAGAGCTTTGTCGATAGCAATGCATTCTCTGTTCAAACGTACATAGCTTACGAGTGGTCCTAGTTTGGTAGCGCAGAGGCACGGGTTAATACCACCTTTCCGTTGGTACTAACGAAGCAGTATGAAGGCACGCCCCGCGTTCGTTAGATGTGCAGACGCTTCCTGTGGAAATTGTAATCCTCTCCGCAACGATGGAAGATGCGCTATTCGCAGCTTATGAATACAGTAGAAATGCGCGACCTTCTCAGTACGAGGCCACTGCTCCGCTCCGTGGCCACGACAACGCCTGACTTCCACTTTAGCTGCTTCCTGATGTTCCGATGCTAAATCCATTTCGAATGGTGAGAGTGAGTTGATAAGGAGAAAGAGCTCTTATCAATAAATGAGAACACGTGACCATGCCCTTTTTCGCCTTGTGCTTCTACAAGCGCAATTGAGCACAGGGTTAAATAGGGCATTTTGGGCGGTTTTTTCTTTGCTTGTATTACCTAAAATCTTGCCATTAGTATCTAAGCCGCACAGCTCACCATGTTTGAACTCGGGGCGTGCCCTTAAGAAGTAACAAATATTCTATGGGGAGCAAGGTTAGTGTATTCCATCGAAATTAGATCTATTTTCGGGCGAGGGGGGTCGAGCCTTATTGTAGGGTAGGTTGTAGATGCGTACTTTACGTATGCGGTGCTCTTATTTGTCCGTGCTGCGGTTACTTTGCAGTAACTTGCCAAATACTGACGCAGAGATGAGTTTATTGTCCCAGTAATGCTCCTGTCACGAGGTTATTATCTGTCAACTTCATTTTGGCCAACGTCACCGCATTCCTGTTTTTTTTTTGGGGGGGGGTATGCACATGGTTTAAAGTTCAAGAAGTGTTTGCAAGCCCACCGTGAAATTTTTGATATCGTCAGACGTGCACATAGAATTACGTGGTCTACGATGTTCTACTTTATAGGCTGCGCGCGGAAGGGATGGCATCTGACCTGTGCCATTGTTCGAGTAAACCTAGAAACCACGTTCGATGTTTTAGGGCTTATCAGACTGGTGCGAGGGGTGGTGTGATGGGTGTAATAGTGGTAACTGGCACGCATACCATGCCTTCGGTCCGAAGGTAAAATGTCGGGCCGACTCCCCGCCCAGGCCAACCAGTTTTACCTTCCTGGAACTGTAGATTGGTAAAGATTCGTCTGGGAGGATAAGAACACTGACTTGTACATCGGCTGGCCCCCGCAAGTCATTGTATAGGCCACATCGCATTCAATAAGCCACTACGATTCTGAATGGAAGTAGAATGCGTGCCGCTTCCCGAAAACGATTATCATCGGAACGGTGGGGACGATCAGTGGGCTGTGCCCTGCACTGCTATGGAGGAGGGGAACCCAAGTGCCCATAGGAAGGGGAAGCTCTGTAAGGACTCACTTCTCTGTATACCCTTGAGCTGAACAGTAACAATATATACGTGCGTTTTTGAATTTGGCGCAAACCTGATGTTTCGTCTACTTCGACGAATCCCCAGGGTTTCCGATCCTAGCCTACCTAGGGTAGGAGGGGAGGGGCAGGCACTGATTGTGCTCCTTTCCGCAGTTGCTGGGCTCAGGAGAAGGAGGATCTCTGTTTTGGTAAGAGTTACAGACGAAAACTCCCAATGCGTTCATACTTTTCGATTCAGTCATTCGTAACGCCTGTCAAGGGATTCTTGGTAGCGCTGCCGCGTGCTTCCCCCAACGTTAGCGCTGTTATACTCCAAATCGCTGCAGATGAAGGGGCGTATCAGGCAGTATGAGTGTTCCACAGCGCCAAACCCGTTCTCTGCCAGTTGTTGAAGCGAGTATGCGACAAGGGTCAGTAGAAAAGGCGTGAATGATATGATACAGTTTTGGCACTTCCTCGCTCCAACAACTGGTAGAGAACGGGCATCGCGCCAAATTCGTACCGACCAACATACCTGTTTGTCTGCATCGAACTAGACTACACTTCCTGTTGCTCGCACAGACTGTTTTCATATTCTGCGAATTGATCGCCAAGATTGCGCGATCATTTTCCCTTTTTTGCCTTTGAAGTGATAGTAGTAAGCATTCCTTTTGAGAGACAGTAGTGCTTTGCTTTTCAGTAACGCTTTCTGTGCCATGGAGAGTACGACCGGATACTTTCTCGTAACAATTGGTAGAGCCTTATCTGAATTCGACCTTTTTTGGGCGTTACGGCGTCGCGATAAATACTTCTAGCGCATTTCGGCAAACTCTTGCTGACTACGTACACATGATGTGGAGGACGGAGAAGTTTCGTGGATGACGGGGAAGTGGTAGTGATGAGGAGTTTCTGTTGTGTGAAATTCATTTTTTGCAGGTGGCGGTTCATGTTACAACTGTGGAGAGGCTGGGCACTTCTCACGTGAATGTACGCAACAACGTGACGGTGGACGTGGAGGAGGTGGATACAGATCTCGCGGCCAGGAGTGCTATCAGTGTGGAGGACAAGGTCATTTCGCTCGCGAGTGTCCTTCAGGAGGTGGCGGCTTCCGTGGTGGTCAAAAATGCTACAACTGTGGAAAACCTGGACATATCTCACGAGATTGTAACGAGAGTGGCTCAGCAGATTCGAAACGCTGCTACAAATGCCAAGGATCCGGTCACATTTCTCGCGATTGTCCCCAACAGTAGATCTCATCCCACATTTTCTCCCTCTTGTACAGTATGATGATGTGTGCCGATGATTACGTTATTTTCTTTCTTTGTTACAAACATTCAAAATGCATTGTTCATCGAAGGGATTTCGCGACGTTTGGAAATACTGTTATTGTTGATCTATATGGAGTTGTTAGGTGGGAGAGATGAATTGTTTCTTTTACGTGTTGTCAGTCATTTCGCTGTACTGGTTATGCGATTACAAGGGTGCACGGCGCTCTGGATGCGCTCTTTTGAGTATCATTTTGAGGGTGAACAGGTCGTCATTTCTGTGAGAGAGCGCAGGCGTCCACAGTCGCCATATTCTAGTAGAAGTGTGGCCCCATTAAACAGCGTTCAGGTGAAATCCTAATGGCGATGTGGGAATTAGCTCTGTAGTGAGTCAAAAAGCAGAAAAACTGGAAACGGTTAAGAGGGTCGTAACTTGTCGCTCCGTCGCGCGCGGCGATGGGCGCGGCGTTTTCTTAACTCGTGCTAACCTGTCGATTGGAGCACGGACTTGTAAACGTCTGCGTAGACATTTTTTGTTTCGCATTGCTCTGTTGTACTCTTGCTACCTGAAAGCATCGTCTCCTTGCGGGCGGACGGTCGTACGCTAACGCACCATCACCGCGCGTATTACGTTCTCTGTCACATACCCAAAAAAAAAACTCGATGATTATGAAGGCGAAAGAAAGCGGCGGAGCATGGTTAGGAGCAGTTTGTGACCATCGGAAAGCCGTACATTGAACGCTGGGTGTGTAGGAAGAAGTTGGAGCGGGCATTGATGTCGTCATGACGTCTGAAGGCGTGGCTTATCGCGTTTTTGAGCCGCGTTAGTACTATACCTGTACATGCGGTCGGGCGTACCTTGTTCAAGAGTGGCATCTGCAACGGAGCACACCATTGTTGGAGAAATCAAAAGGTGATTGGGCATTTGCCACGAATCAGGTAGGGGGGGGTTGTGAAGCAGGGGCTCATTCAAAAGTGGGCGTAGAGCATAGTAGCATTTATTAGAAGTATGACAATATTAAATGGATAAAATTATTTATGCATGGTTCTTTGTCATGAGAGCACCTTGGAAGAACAGAGGTAGCCGGAAGCTAAGGAACGGGAGAGAGGCGAGGGGCAGGAAGTACGGAGGGCGCTCACACAGCAACGTCATGAATTAATGAAGATAATAAAAGTACACGCTCGGACCTTTTTGAACCACAGGAGCACAGCGACTGCTTGCACGGACGAAGCCTTCAATCTAAGAAGATAACCTTTCTCAGCAGCCCTCTGGGCGTGATGGTCGGATGTTATGGGCGGCGTCAAAGAAGAAATGTGCATCGACGCCAAGTGAACGCTTTTCCTTCATTAAAAACGTCGGCGATCGGGTGTGTGATCTCGGAACGGATCGGCGCGGAGATTTCTTAAGGCAGCGCGGCTTAGGAAAAGATTGAAGTTGCTGTCCCAGGAAAGTAGGAAGTCCTCTGAATTCTGGCACTTTTCGCTTCTGCAAAGGGTCACTTATGAAGATAGTTATGGCTGTTCAAAGCATGGAAACTCGTAGGTGATACTAAAATTCAACAACTGTGTTACAATGGTGGAAATTCACTTCAAAGAAGATCTGAGATTGAGCACTTTACTGAATATCAACTAGAGGCTTCTCTTACTTTTTCAGGAAACTTCCACCCTCAAAGGAGATTACGCGATGTTAAAAGAAGGGCAGTTTCCGGCGTCCCTGGCCTATTTCGGAAAGATACCGCGAAACAGCTCGCTCCACTGAAACCGCTGAATGTGCGCAAATGTTTGAGATTCGGAGTGTATCACCAGTCGATATTGCACTCTCACGTTTTTAGGCCGGGAGGGGAGGCGAATAGCGGGAGAGGGCGGCGCACAAGGACCCTCATTTAAGGAGCTGGGCTGTATTAAGGAAAATTCCACCTTGGATATTTTCTTCGAAGAGGCAAGGGGAAGGTGGCCAATGCCCAAAACAAAAAATTTTCCATAGGCTATTTTCATGGTCTCCCGTCCCCTTCAGCAGCTACTGAAGTTTAGAAGGTGATTTTAGTGGTGGAGAAGTGCTGGTGATTGTACTGCCAAGATTATCAATGGTAACATTGATGCGGATGACAGGCCCATTCTGTCCTTTTGGTGAGATCTGTTGGGCGACAAGCGCCACTGTATGGACCTTAGTGGATCATGAAGCAGGGTCAAGTCATCGATGACAGAAGTCGCATGGGGGTGGGGCGGGGAGCGGTCCCTATCTGGTCATGGGCAGAGACGGAATGGGAGAGATAATTAAGGAATAACGAAGTTAACTTTTCGTTAAGTTAATTGGGTTATATCGGGTACGGGCAAACCTCATGAGAATGCTACACCTTTCAACCACTTCAGCGTGAGGCTAAACGGACATGGATAACACCCAGAAAATATCAATCGAAGCAGACGTTCTCATTGTTCAGCTCAACGAGAAGATGCGTCCTGAAGGAGACCCAGATCTCTAGATGAGTTTCGGTACAGAAGATGTTGAGCTTCTGAGGGGCTCAGAATCTCTTCCATCAGAAACCCATATCAAGTACACTCCTTATCCCTGAGACGGAGTAGGCGTGGCATTAGAACATGGCATAGAATGGGTTACTCGTGGGATATTTCAGTTTGAGACAACTGTCATCTTGTTTAGTTATACGCAAGTTTATCAAAAGGAAGGCATCTTATCAAGAATAGAGCCACCGACACGTTTAGTTGAAAAACGCAGCCACGCCTACCCCATCTCAGGGATTTCAAGTGTATGCCTTGGACTAGCGCATTCTTGGGAAAGCGTGACATGTTTCGGAAAGCGAAAATACCCTATTTTCCAGCCATGGTGTTGTCTTCGCAGACAGTTGCGTACCAGGAAGATGGAGTCCTTCAACCCATGAAAACTCCCATGAGCTTTTCCAGTGATCCCATCAAAACCCAGCAAAGATCTTACTCGAACCGGGGAAGATTCAGAGGAATTCAGCACAACTACGGAACCGTGCGCCTAATGCTGTGTAATGCTATTTTTTGATTCACAAGTATTGCACTTCTGAGAAAGGTACGGTTTTCCAGAAAAGGTTATTGCCGTGTAAAAAAACGAAACTTGAAAAATAATATGCTCTAGTGCACAACAATGGCATCAGGTACGTATTTTAAATGTAACATTACCGAAAGTGGTGATGACGAGATTCCGCTCTGGGCGAGAGTTCGCACTGACTCCGCTATTTCTCTCAACCCGATGCTGCCCTAATGCGCTCAGAAATGTTGGAGTGCAGCAAAGCGGCTGTGATACCTCTAGAGAGTTCAGCCTCATCTAACGAGACTATCAAAACTCATTGTTCAAGGTAAACCCCTCCTCGATAGCACGACCTCACACTGCTATGACCGTTGAGACCGCTTCCCAAGAAGTTCGATTGTTAGAATCTGTAGCTCAAACTATACTACCGATGTTTCCATTCCACGACTTTTCAGTGGGGTTTATGAGCAGTACGCAAGATCGAAAGACCGGGGTTCAAGTCGGGGTACGTTGTGGTGTGGAATGGGAGACTGAGGGCGGGGAGGGGGGTGGGACCGGGAAGAATGTCTTCCAAAACTTCTCTAAAACGCACATACGACCCCGCCCCTCTCTTCCAACGACCAAATAATCCCCAGAAGAAAAGTACATTCCCCCTATGTGTTTCACACAACGGTGCTGCGCCCTTTCAGTCGGGGCATTGTCAGGAGGGGTGGAATGGGCTTCTGCACTTTCTAGCAATAGTGATTTTAGTAATAACTTCAGGGAGAAAACACCTCCATTGGTGAAAACGCCGTAGGTGGGACCATCCAAGCTTGACACCATCCAGACTGACTGAAACGAATCAACTGTATACTGACAGTGAGCTCAACTCTCTGTCCAACTTCATCTGGTGGGTTGGGCCATCGGTAATGGCGTTTTTTTCTCACGCAAATTTTTATATGATTGAACACGTGAGAATCGCTCCCAACGTGTGTTGTTGGACCTGCTTCAATGAGAGTAGCTTCCGCCTCTATAAAGACTGATGAGTGCTTTTTTGTACTCTCTTGATTTCAGTCGATTTTTATTTTATCGAAGTGGATTATCGGAGTCGGCCCAAAAGCGCATTGACAACGAATTTTCGCACTTTTCTTTCTTTTTTTCTTTTCTTTTTCTTTTTTCTTTTCAAATTACAGAAAAAAGCTTGAAACTTGTGATATATATGAATAAAGGGAGGTGAGTCTTATGACAGCTTGGATTTGGTTCAAGCGATTAAGAGTTGGTATAAGTGACGCGACTTGTAAATGTGATTGCATGGAGGCCTTTCTTGAGGAAGCTTACTGCCTACAGGAACACCCACTAATTTCCAAAAGTCTAACGTCAGCTGAGGATGGTGGTTGATACTGTAAAGAAGCACTACCGACCTCTACTCCCCTCTACCCTGACCTCTACCGACTCCTGAACCTTTGGCATGGATTCCCATGAAGAGTAATTCCGTAAGCTCTCAGTTGGACACGACAGGGCATTTGATTGGATGCTTGTCTGAGAAGTCATCTTGAACTTGAAATCTCCGAATCACTTAAACTATTATAAGGATTCCTAAGACACATAGCCCATTGGCCATATACTTAACAACTGGGCCTTTGCGGTTTTAGCTTTTCAGTTAGAAGTAAAAAGAGAGGCTGTCGAAAATGCTCAATTTCATCGACCTGACACTCCATTTTGAGCACTCAAGTATCAGCAGAAAGAGAAACTTCAAAAAGCCAAAAGGCTATCTTATGGGACAAGGAATTCTGCAGAACAGTATAAAACTCAATGGCAAAAATTCTTATTTTTAGCGCGACATTTCGTGTGAAAAAGACGCCATTACTTATGGGCCAAACCAATATGTATAATAGGTTCCGCTAGCACATCCTGCCCTCTATATTTTATTTTTCAAATATATCCCAGTTTGAATGTTCTCACAGGTAGCCACATTAGCCGTTGAGCAATCAAATGGCAAATGGTTGTGGAGGCTTCGCGTGGGTGACGTATGCTTGTCACCACGGCAACGGGGCCAAATGTCTTTCAGCTTCGTCATGTCCGCTGATAAGCTTGATCATTCCCTTAGGTGAGCGCATCATTCAAGACGCTTTCATCCCAAGACCCTCTTTAATCTCATCGGCGGTATGCCCTGGCTATGTTGTCATCGAAAGCCAAAATCAAAACGGGAAGACCAATACAAGGTGATAGCCGCTGTTCCGTTACTTTAGTAATTTTTACTCCAGTAATACAAATCTATCCAGGTAGCTGACGATCCCGAAGAGCCAAACGTTGAGGAAAATCACGGTGAAGCAATGTTTTCGTGGTAAGTAACATTTTGAGGGAAAAATTCCCTTTTATTAGGCCTGCCTTCAGTTCCTTCCTTGCTTTCGCACGCCACGTTGCGTGTATTTCTCCACTTGCCCAGGTGGTCGCCTAGACCTCCATATCCAGGCGTTGGTGATAAGTGAGTCGATTTCTGAGCGCTCATGCCTGCACTAGGCCCGTTTAAGACTGCTTTCATGCGTTCATTCATATTGTAATCTTTGTAATCTGACATTAATCGCTAATCCGTTATTCTACGACATACCTTGGATATGAGTAGCTCAGGAAGTCGCTATGAAAACAGCAGACAGTCATCTTTCTTCGTCGGTTATTCCTATTCTTGTGCGGCGCAGTTCGGCCACGGGAGGGCATTTTGCACTTTCATTCCTCCACTAGTTCCAGTTTGCATACGATCTGTGAACTCCTGTGAAGCTGGAGCAAGCTCGTCGAGCTGCAATGGTGTAACCTGTCAACCCACGAAAAGGCTCTCTAGATGGGTCGACACGTCGATGAGAAGTAGCAAAAGTGCAAAATGCCCCCTTCCGTTGCCGAGCTGCGCCTTCTTATGCTCATATGCACTAATCAGGACACGAACTGCTGTTGTGGAGAATTTTCGGAAATTACGATCCCACGGTTTCGTCCTTTGCTGTCACTCTCCCCTCCCCCTTCCTCCCCATTCTACCGTTCTACCTGCTATCTTGCCTTTCTTGCCAACTTCTCAACTTTTCCAGGCTTCTCACCTCACTTTTTTTACCGAACTCCGAAAATTACCCAGTTTTCGCCCAATATTTCGCCGTCGAGCAGGGGAGGGGAAACATGACATCAGCTGACCTCGAGAATCCACAAGCGAAAAAAAACTTCACCAGCCACGAATTTCTCTAAGGCGAGTACGACCCCTGCCTCCAGCAACCAAAAGCGAGCTCCCTCTGCTGGGGTTTCCTCAACGTAAGACGTTCCCTGACTCTAAGTAGCCTTCTGCTCTGATTGTGAATCTCTTTCCCTGTAAAAATTTAGGTATGCTTTTATAACGAACCTTCTGCGGGAAAGATTGCGTTATCGCAAATCCTCGAGTATTCCCCTTCAGAGCGCGTCCTAATTTCCATTCACAATTTCCATTCCGTCGTTGAGGAAAATTTTTGCAAAGTACGACCCCTCCATTTTCATAGGTTTCTCCTCTGAAACACCTTCCTCTAGTCCTCCCCCTGTCCTATACTCGAACTCCCTAAGATCGCGGTAGCCTGCTGGCGCTGACTTGATTTTAAACAATGGACGGTCGCCGCCCAGGTTCCCGGTGATGATGTTGTCATTATTGAGAGCAAACCATTAATCATGTTAACATTGACAACAGAAAAAGGTAGCAGTTGTTTCAATTTGAAGTATCTCAAGAGAAACCGTTCTAAGCCATGCTCAAAAGCCACGTCTACTCTAGCCACGTCTACTCTGTCTCAGGAATAAGGAGTGTACATGCACCCTTCCTGAATTTTTGCAACTTCCTACCACGTTTCCAGTTTTTTGCATTTTTTCCCTAGAATAAGTGCCGCCGAGCAGTAAGGAGTGGGCTGTGCTGGCACAATAGCGATTCCCTCCCCAGCCCTCAGCGCATATAATTTCTACTAATTAGGTTTCTTCAGTCGCTTCCGATTGAGGGAGAGTACCGTAGGAAAACAAGCTCATTTCAAGTGTTTTTCAGGGAACGGCGTCCACAAATGGATATCGACAAATTTCGGATACACGATCTCGACGGGGCAACAGAAGTTCGTCGAGGAGCTGGTGGACAACCAATGGCCATAGAGAGCTGCAAGGTATTACTTTGCTCCACGGCTTTTACATAATCTGTGCCTACATGAAAGGGTGAAAGGAAGCGTTATAAAAAACAACATCAAAATTAAAAAGACAATTCGCAAAATATAACCATTTTCACTTTAAATTCACCCTTTTTCAAACCAAATTCACCCTTTTTCAAACCAAATTCACCCTTTTTCAAACCAAATTCACCCCTTTTCAAACCAAATTCACCCTCACTTTTCACATCAAATTAACACACTTATTAGGGGCTGACCACGACACTTGCTTTTCACGGAATTTCGATAATTTTTTAAAATTTTTTCATTTTAGGGCTACTGCGTGAAGCCCCGCCCACTGCTAGATGCTCCGCCCACTTTAATAAGCCCCGCCCGTTTTGAAAAAAAATCGTGCAAAATTCGACGTAGCTATAGAGCGATGATTGCATGGCTAGCGTCTCGCACGTCACTCGGAACAAAGAAATTCGCAAAGTTATTCGAGAATGATCAAGCAATACCCTAGCATGCAAGCAATTACTCATATACCTGCCGACTTGCACCTTCTTCATGAAAAGTGGGCGGGACTTTTCCAAAGTGGGCGAAGCATCTCACAGTGAGCGCGGCTTCACGCAGCAGCCCTAAAATGCAAAAATTTGCAAAAACATCGAATAGTGCTTGTGCGTGAGAATTATTTCTTCAGTATGCGTGGTCAAGCCTAGGGCTCGCCAAACCCATTTAGATAATGGCGGAGTCGGCCATGTGTGAATGCACGGTGGTTTCCAGTCAAAGTGTTTGTGGGAAACAGCAAAAGCAGAAGTTATGAAACAAGATTTGAGAATCTATGTCCGCGCTGACAAGTGGGCGTGGCCGTTGGGCGGCCGCAGTGATGCTGCTGATAGTGGCGTGATTGAGCCCGCCCTAATAAGTGTGGTTAACTTGATGAAAAGTGAGGGTGAATTTGGTTTGAAAAGAGGGTGAATTTGGTTTGAAAAAGGGTGAATTTGGTTTGAAAAAGGGTGAATTTAAAGTGAAAATGGTATAAATAAACTTATCCCTAAGAGATAAGTCCGCGGACGTTGCGCGCGCAGCACGTGCGAACACTATATGGGGCGCTGGAAGTTGAAACCCCATTGTTACGAGTTGTGGTCAGTGTATTCTTGGTATAGGCTATGGAGGAAAAGGCAGAAAATTCTGAATAAAATTTATTTTTCAATGTAGTCCCCCATAACCTCAATACACTTGTTTGCTCGGGAAACTAACTTTTCAATACCCTCCAAAATATTTTTTCTCTCTGTCCCCAAAATGAGCATTAATTGCCGCCTTCAGTTCTTCACCGTCAGAGAAACGCTTTCCACGAAGATCTTTTGCTAGATTTTTCTAGGAAGAAGCAATCGTTAATCATTTTCTTCAATTTCCTTTTCATTTTTCTATTTTTTTTGATCAGTAATCATTTTCTCAACATTGCATCAGTCATTCTGGTCTTCTTTCACCAAGGATAACTAGAATAGCATTGATGATAACTAAATGAAATTTTGTATTTATACCCTCAGGGAGTGTCGTTACCTATTGAAATGATTCAAATTCCTTCGTCACTGCTAAATTATCCCGATACCGAGAATACTTCGGACGGTCCTCGTATTTCCTGAAAAGCTGTTTCCGAAGAGGCATCCCCAACTGATGTGATCCCAAGGGTGAAAGAATGGGTGACCAAAGAACTGATAGAGGTCGAATGGCAAAAGTTCGGAGCAGACAACGAAAAAGGGGCACTTCGTGACTCTAAAGCCAGTTTCAGTTCTGTTAATTCTGAAGACAATGATGAGAAAAAAGTAGATTTGAGTTGATTCCAGTACAGATTCTTCCGCTACTTAAACCACGAGGGAAAAAATACCGTAAAGTGAAACTGGGATCGTTATGCCGCTTCATTCATATTTTTGCGGCAATTTAAAATGGTAGAATCGGAGACCAGGGGATGGAAGTTTTCTACTGAGCTCTGAATCTCTCTATCGCAATCAAGTCGCATTTAGTTTTTCTCAGCTACGCTTTCAAGGGCCTGACTCCACCCATGTAGTTAATGTAGACTGCGCCTTTATCACCTCTGGGTGTAAACTAACCATAATTTATCGCCTTTGCGAATGCACGCCTTTATGGGTGCTTGTGCAGTCTTTCTACTGTAAACTTCAGTGCCAAGGTTTCTGTATTCATCCTGATCCTCCATGAGTATACAAGTTCGTGCCTGGGTCTACAGAATAAAGGAAAAGTACCGAAAACTAAAAGTAAAGCAGTATCTCCCAGTATGGATCATTTTTTCACTATTCAGCCTTTGCTATCCCAGTCCGCGTACACAGATACATTTGCATGGAACATTCTCGTCCTCGTGGGTGTTCTGACCCGCCACAAAAGCTGGGGCAAACTCGTCCATATTATTGTTTGAGGACCCCCCTTATAACAACCCACACTAACAATCCGACAGCATCTCTTGATATTTCTTTAAATAGACTCTGGTTCGACGGGTTCGGTTTCATTTCAATGTGACTTTACGTAGATATAGATATCGTGCGGCTGGGGTGGTGATGCTGTCTCGACATTTTCGATCTCCAGAACATTTCGATCGAAATCCGTTCTGAATTTTGTAGGGGGTTATATTTAATGTTGAATAATGCGCAGTTCTCAAATTACCTGATTTCAGGGTAGCAACTTACTTGTGCTCGACCACACGTCCACAATAACGGTCGACGATTGCTCAGATTGCTTGATAGTGTTAGCTCCTTGTGCTGGCAGGTTAGTTTTTCAGGCACTTTTAAAGTCATATGGCACGACCGATTTGGCAGTCGGTCTAACAGGATGCTAGCAGGGTGCTATATAATTTGAGAACGCGAAAAAACGAAGTGAACGGTCAAAACCTCCGGAGAAGTCCTCGTTCTACATGAACTCAGAAAGCGATTTCGGACGAGATTCCCGTTGGCATCGTGCCAATAAGCGCTGCGGTAGATATGGCTGCATCTATTGCGACTGCATGTCTCTATCTAGCATGCTAGTCGTCCAATAGCAATCGCGTTAATCATATTGTAACTTATCAAATGAAGGTGATTTATCGTGCGCACCTTGTCTTCTTTTCTTTCGATATTTCTTTTCATATAATGGCCACTTTACTATGCTCTCCGTATATTAGCGGCAGAAATTCAGTGTTTTCCTACGAGACTGTCAATCATGTACGGTACTGGTGGCCTGCCAACAACTTCGAACAAGAGACTGCCATACGTTACACATCGCTCTCCACTGCGCTACACAGCCGATCATCGAAGAGACTTCGAATGCCATTTTTCATCCGCTGGCATTGCACTACGACTCGTTTGTCGGTAAGTGAAGGCATGGTTTTCAAAAATCTTGCAAGGGGAAAGTAAGGGTTAAGTTGTGAACCAGAGGTAGAAGTTATTCATCAGGTACTTATTGAGATATTCGAAAAATAATGCAGGTCAACGTCGTCGATCTTTAAAACGGAACTTTCCAGTATTGAGAGAAGCTTTTCGGTCTAAAAAAACGATTGTAAGTTAGGTACTCTTCCAAAGGAGCAGCAACTAAATTTTGACCACCTGCTGCTTCTCGATAATTCTTGCAGCAGGTGGAACGTGGAAAGTTGTTACTCTTACGCAAAAGGCTGCTCTATAGTTGACGAATTCGCTAGAGGCGCTTCCCACAAAGGTTAGGATTTACAAAGCATTCCTCGCGCAGGATTACACTCCTTATCCCTTAGACGGAGTGGGCGTGGCATTTGAACATGGCTAGGATGTGTTGCTCGTGGAATATTTCAATTAGAGACAACTGCCATTTTCCTGAAACTCTAGTTCCCAAAATGAAAACACGTCACGAAGAATCTGGACGTTTCCACGCTCAGATGTCTCCTGCCACGCCCATCCCATCTCAAGGATTCAGAATGTATGTCCGGCGCTTGTAGCAATGATATCATGTGAATATTATGGATGAGGCAGGACTCGATGGTTATGTGGCAAGGGAATCGATTCTCCGCGCCAGTGGGCGTCGCGTGCGACGTCGCGCCCGCTAATGACGACAATTTTGGTGGTATTGGTCAAGAATAGACAATGTGTGACCAAACTAGACATGAGGGTCTAGCATGTTCAAAATGTCGCGCCCATTGCCGCGCGCGACGGAGCGGCGGTTCACGATTCTCTTGCCCGTCTCCCAGACTCGATAGCCTGGCTCTTCCAAAATCTGTAGCACCGTCGTGCGACATGTGGCCACGGGCTCTGACCGAGGTCTTGGTCAATTTCGGGGGCAGGCATTAAAAATGCTGGGGTGATTCGCCAAGTTCCTGATGTGCTTGGCTGCCCGCAATGGACTGCCGGCCAGTAACTTGCTGACTTGGCCTGCCGCAATCGACTCGCGCTCGGATCTCAAGGCGGAGTTAGCGTCACGCCTCTTTTTGGTGCAACCTTATCGTTCGGGAGATTGTGCGAATGCTTCACCACAGCACCGAGAGCAGCGATGTCACCGAAAGCGCCATTCTGTTCATGCATGTTAAACAAAAAGTGTCTCAAAACATTCGTTGACACCTCGCAAAGCATTCGATTTGTTTAGCAAAAGAGGGACTGCCAACAGCTTTTCACCGCGACAATTGCTTCTCGCCAGTGCCTCATCTCAAGCACTTGTGGGCCCAACGGCGCAACTCGAGTGGGATGACCAAAATTCATGATCTGATTTCTTCCTTCCTAAGCTGAAAACTTCTCATTGGCGCCAGTAGTTTTACAGCTTCCTATGAAAAGAGATAGCGCGTGCAATGCTCTTTTCGCTTGTTCCATGACATTGCAAAATCTGCGCTCAAATGTGCTCTGGAGCGAGTAAATGAAACCAGGAATCGAAAAACCCGTGTTAACCTCCGGATACCTCGTAAGAAATTCCAGATAACCTAATAAGTCGAGTGATCTCCATGACCACTGGACGGCCTGTTCAGTATCATCCGCATCCGACTAAGCAGAGTTTTTACGCACGAAAACTGGGACGAAGACATCAAAGAAACCGGATGGGGTTTATTTCGATACCGTCTTATGTCGTCGTAGTTCCTTTGCAATTGGGGGTGAATGGGGGAAGTGGTGTGGCATTGCAGTACAAAGTCAAAATCTGCACAAATGCGAACCGAGGGGTAATGCAGATGAATTACAGCCTGCTAGCTAGCAGTAACACTTTCTTCTTCAAGCATGCGATATCTCCACGTTATCAAAAACCTACCAGTGATGGGTTTTGTTGTAGAATCGACTGATAAGGCTGGACAACTGTTCGTTCAGCCCTTGGCGGCCGCGATAAGCGAGCCCAACTCGCTGGAGAAGCATTAATTACTACTGATGGCGTGAAGACTGTCAACATAAGTAGCGCCGCAAGCACCTTGAAAGTTATGATTGTGTCGCAAAACCTACCAACAACACCAAACCGGCTCAACTCTGGTCTTGCCTCATGTAACGCAAAAGATACGTGTGGCTAAGCTTACAAAGGGGCTAGCAATCGATATGTCTTGTCAGTGAACTCTCGATCGAGTAGTATAGTTGTTACTTCCATTAACACCATGGTTGTGGCCGTGGCGACACAGGCTTCGATTCCTGTCTTGGCAGCGTTTTGATGATTTTATAATCAGCCTACATCGCTTTTTGATTTGAAAAATGGCGCTTATTAGTCAGCTTTCGGCCCAAGTAGTATAGTGGTTAGTACTCCACGTTGTGGCCGTGGCGACACAGGTTCGATTCCTGTCTTGGGCATCGTTTTGTATTCATTTTGAAAGGTTTACAAATGAACTATGATCGATAAGTCACGCCTATTGGACATCTCTCGGCCCAAGTAGTATAGTGGTCAGTACTCCATGTTGTGGCCGTGGCGATACAGCGTTCAATTTCTGTCCTGGGAGCTCTATAATCATATTGCAATGAATAATGATTCGATCAAACACGCCTCTAGAAGAAGCCCGTCAGGAGCAGAGTTTGCGACGGCGAGGGGGGTAGGCAATTTTGCCACTCACGTTGGCTTGACTACTTCATGCTAATGCCTCCTCCCCCCTCCCCCCCTTCGTTCGCAAACAGGCTCCCGAGCCGCCGGCCAAATAGTTCAAAGTTATAGTAGTTAGTGCTTCGCGTTGTGGCCGTGGCGACACAGGTTCGGTTCCTGAGCTTACAAAAGGCATATCGATTGATAAACGGCGCTTATTAGCCAGCTCCGGCCCAAGTAGTATAGTGGTTAGTACTCCACGTTGTGGCCGTGGCGACACAGGTTCGATTCCTGTCTTGGGCAGTGTTTTGTGAATTCTTATAAGTCAGCTTACAAACGGCTTTATTGCATTGAAAAAAATGGCGCTTTAGTAGTCAGCTTTCGCCCCAGAGTACTATAGTTGGTTAGTAATTCGACGTGTGTGGCCCGTGCCGACAGTTCGATTACCTTGTCTTTGAACAGTAGTTTTGCAGTTTTTAAAATCAGCTTACAAAAGGCTTTTTTGATGATAATGGCGCTTATTAGTTAGCTTCTCGGCCCAAGTAGTATAGTGGTTAGTACTCCACGTTGTGGCCGTGGCGACACAGGTTCGATTCCTGTCTTGGGCAGCGTTTTGCTTCTATTGTACTCCAATTTCCAGACTTAAAGACCAATTTCCTTAACACCAGTTTAATCGAGATTATTAATCAGTTGTATTTATTCATTGAATTTATTGCCTTCACAATTTATACCGTACGAGACATGAGGCTCCCTATAAAAGAGCGAATGCTGTTGAAAAAAAAAACGTTTTTACCATACTGATTTCATCTTAGCAGATGGACCCTGGTAAGTGCACGTTTAAGTCCGTTTTCGAGCCATTCGTCATCAGTTCACGACTTCACCCCAGAAAAAGGCTCGTCGCATTATCGAATAAACAACGAGGCGTTGGTACTTGTGAGTGCTGTTCAACATATTCAATGCCTATAAGTGCTTCGTTCTACAAACGAGAGGGCGTAAGTGGGGGGCGTTCATTAGAGCGCAGCCACGACAGCCTATTCTCCACCAGTTGATGCTATCCTAAGCCTGCAGCTATTGGTGGAAAAGGTTGCACCAGCTGCGGTTCAGCGTCCCGGTTGAATATAACTCACGCAAAGTATAAAGCTCCCAACAAGGAATGAATAGAATAATAGAAATGGTAGAATCTTCAAAGGGACAACCATCGCCAGATTACCGTTCTTCGATATGTCATTTTTTTCTTGCAGAGCTCAAACCAAGTCTCTATTTTGACGCCTCACGGTGTATCGGCCAGCATCGATGAGTCGGACATCCCGTTCCGTCAAGAAGCAAGTGGAAAGGTATGTGTGGTTGTTTGTTCAAATCGCTCAAGTTAAGAAATACGGCCTATTTTCTATTTTTAAAACATGACCAAACCTTCTCAAACTTCAGTACAAAACCACTTGAAAGCGCCTGCTGTATGGGCGGGATAGTCCAGCACTATGCCTTCCTTATTGGCGTGCCCTTTCCTTCATTCTTACGTGACTGCATTTCCTCTTTACCGTATTTGGAAGGATTCCTTACATAGCAATGAACTTCTGGCAACGAATGGACAGTAGTTAGTTCTTCCCGCCCATTTGATGTGCATGGACCGTCCCCCTAGAAAGACTAGTGTTATCTATGACAATGTAGCTGTGAAAAGTAGCGTCGGTTGTTGAGCCGGACTGCCTGAGAAGCTTGGGCAGCAACTCGAATCAAGAAACTTGGGTTCTGAAGTGCGCTATGTCTAGCCCTCATTAATTCGTCATGAGCGAGGGCCCAGGAAAGTTTCTGTAATTTGGTCGGGTCCCTCTTGAGAGCACAGCTTACAGATGGAAAGAGACAACAATCAACAGTGTATCTTCCACATGCACGCGGTCGTTGCTTTAGGAAGGTAAAAAGGAGAACTGGGTCAGCGGTGAAATGGTGTGTCTCCGCCCATGCGACCAAGGCGAACTATTGAGGTCTACTTCGGGAACATTATGTAATAATCAATTTATTTGAGGCCTCGGGAAAATTATTGGACTGCAAGTCAATCCACAATCTCTAGATACAGTAAGCGTAAACACTAAAGCCTGAGAGTGATGTGCCTTATTGAGCGACATTTAGATGTTTCATGATTTCAAGCGTATTTTTCGATTTATTTGCAGAGATACTACTTCCATGCAAAGTGCAACGATGGCGAACAACGACTCCCTTTCGTGGAACAATGCCTAAAAGTTGCGCGGGCCATAGTTCTTTCACCATCACTCAGGCTTGTCAGTACAAGCGAGATCGATCTACAAAAGCACGGATCGAAATTTGGAATGCCATCAAAAACTCACGGTAGGTTTTTCCCTTCGGCTTGTTGCATTTATAGGAAAAAGTAGGTTACCCTCCATATAAGAGGGTTTTACCTTTATTCAGTCTCTTACCAAGAAATCAACACTTTTCCGGGAAAACTGGCACTATCAGGAATGAGTGGAGCGGTTGACTCAAACTTTTGTTCAGATGCTTAGTGGTTCTGTCCCTGAGGAAGAGTGCCTTTCGGAGTAGTCAATATTAGTGAGGTAAGTCGGGGCGTTTCCATGGCGCCGGTTTTGGCGCTTTGCCAGCCCGTTTACCACTGATCGTTGCGGCATGAGGCGTTCATGAGTGGTCTGGCGCCAGAATTCACGCACGGCCCAACACGCTCCGCCTGACTTCAAGTGAATAAAGACTGTGCATCGTTATTGTGTGGAACCCATCAAAAGGGAAAATTGGCATTTGGCCTCAGAAAAGTTTTCTGAGTCGATGTTTTTTTTTCTGTCTCGAACACGACAACATATCCTTCATCCCTTGCGACAGAATCGGCGAGATTTGGCATGATGGTGGGGTAAGTCTGTGCAAAGAACTCCTAACTGAGACAGGCTCTTCGTACCCGTCATCCTGCACTCACCCCGCCCCCGACGACCTGCCCGGTCCCTGGGAGCTTTGCAAGGACAATAATCTGTAATAAGTACAGTCCTCATCATTGCGGACCGGTGGGGCGTGTCAGCCAGTATGAGTGTGCACACTGTTGAAGCCGTTCTCAGCCTTTTTGTTGAAACGCGTATGCGACAAAAAGTGGTAGAAAACGAGTAATACGGAGGATATAATACAGTCATATCATTTGCTCGCTTTAAATACTGGTGGAGAGCGGGTTTGGCACCGCGCCAAACGCAGCCGCACTGAACCGCCCGACAGTACGTAATGATGAGGACTGTACTTGTCTCGAATCGACTAGTAAGGGTGTTCGACGACAATGTGAAGAGGTGTTCAGGCTTTGAATCGGCTGACCTTCGAGAACCTGCCCATACTCAGAAACCGAACGATCTCCGATCGCTGACAAATACTCTAGTCAAGGGTAGTCAGAGTGAGAGTTCATGCTCATCGATCACCGAGAAGGTTTTCGGTCATTCGAGGAAAAGAAAGGCCCGTTGTGGGATAAGTAGCACGATGTCCTGGTGCTTGGGATTCCCTACATATGAGGTGTGGGGGGACTTCCGTTTTTGTGAAGGAAAGGGGGAATTCGCATTTGTACTTGTATAAGGAACCAACAGAGCACGAATCGAAAAGGAATCGGACAAAAGTTAGTTGAACCCGGAAGAATGAAGGTTTGTTAGGCCCAGAAGCTATATGTCGATAAAATCAGAGCTAGGAAACGTGTTACATTTTTACATTACAATTTTTTACTCAAATTTTTTGCAGTATACAATATTTATTTTTTGAAAAGTAAATGTAATTCCAGCAACACTAGTTGTGCTCGAAGTTTGCGGCGATCCGGATGTTCTGGAACAGTTGATGAGCGACGGAGGTTTCGAGAAAGTCCCGGAACATGAGGAGTCAACCTTCGCCGTTGCCCTCGCTGCTGTCAGTCAGATCATGCTTTCTTAGTCTCATGAGCTTCATTCTTGAATTTGTCCATTCATTTCATGAGAATAACTGTTCGAATCGTCTGTTGTATATTAATTACCCGAAGTAATAACTGTGTTATTCCCTAAAGTGTAGGTGCCCTTCAAATGGGGTTTGGATTTATTTATAAGAGGCTCTGTTCCACTGGCATGGCGCTTGCTATGACCACGAAGGTTTCTTCCATTTCTACTAACTCCTCATTTTTCTCTTCCAAGTACCAATTGATGCCCATTCATTTGAGCCAAACATTTGCCACCCAATTTTATACAGGCAATGAAATATTTTACCTCTTCTTGCCTTTCTTCTTCTCTACGTCTTTCACGCTACCTGCTTCTTAGCTTTTTCTTCTTCTACGTCTTTGTCAGCGTATTGTACTAGAGAAACCCCATTCTAAGAAATCCCTACATAAGGACCTTAATGACACGGAATTGGAGGACGGAGGGTTTGGGGAGCGGTACACCTGATGCTATGTCAGCAATGCCGCATTCTGTTAAATTGTGCCTTTGAGAAAACCGACACCTCGCGAGCACTGTGTGAGGGCCGGCTTCGTGATGCACCTGCCAAGACCCTGTAAACCCTTGTCTAAGCTGTCCAGATGGTAGAACCTTAAAAAAGCTCTGATGTATCGGATATAGAGCACTGCGTAGCAGTGTTAGCCAAAACCGACTCCGTAAAGGCAATGGGGGGTTACGATGATTTGGTGCTCGGCCTAAAATGTCAGTAGGACGCTATATAGTGGGGAAATGGCGAAAGAACGGAGTGAAACGGTCAAAATCCTACGAAGAAACTTGTTTTCAAGTGTGTCTAGAAAATCGATTTTGGACGAGTTTCCTGTAGGCATCTCGCCAAAAACCGCTACCGAAGGTACGGCTGCATATGTGTATTCATATATCCATGCAGCATCGCGGTCGCCTCCGCTTCATAAATAATCCCTTCGTAATAATTTGCTCAAAATGATTAGAAACGTCAGGAACGGGCGTCCATTTGTGGGCGTGGTTTAGGGTCGGAATGTCTGTGGCTTTGAGCTAGTAGGCCTTTATAAGGGCACCTTTCTTGGAAAAGGCATTATGCAGCGCCTGCTCAGGGTCGCGGAATTCCGTCCGCCAGGCATATCAATCCTACTCGTCTTGGGGATTTATCGTGCCAACTGCCTTTAATAAAGCCTGTATGCTGACATGATTGCCCAAGAGCTAACAAATATGCCCTCTCCAGGGTTTGTAGCGCCAAAAGCGTTTTGCTTTGCTACCAGCCTGAGTTGGGTATTCTCAGAGGTGACGACGTGAAGGTTATGACGTCCTCTGATTGAAGGCAGACTTCGCGATCAGCCAGGAAAAAAGGTCGTAGGTAGCGCGATAAGAAACAGAAGTGCATATGCTGGTTGACCCTCCCGTGAAGAAAGGAGAGAAAACCGTAGAAAACCCTCTGAGTAAGATTCCTAAGGTTTGTCAAGCGAGAGATAAAGACTCGATGTGGATGTCGGGGAGAGACCAGAGAAAGCATCGAGAGATGCAAACGAGCAAGGCGACAGATGACAGCTACCAACGTGGGCGGAGTCACTTGAGCAACTTTGTCCCCTACCGCCGCTAGCTACCACTTTATGACGTGAAACTTAAACAGGGTTCTTCGCTGCAGTCCACACAACCGCTCCCTGCAGAAAACATGTCACAAAAAGTGTTCAGCTTGAAACATCCAAACACTGTGAGAGAAACGCTACAGTATGGGAATGTACTGGACCCTCCGGAAAGCCGCGTGATCGTACCTCAGAAGACGTGATATCTGCTGCCTACAAGGTTATTCTGTAGAATACAGCCCATGCATTTTTTTGTCAAAAGATAACAATGAGTTGGAATTCTGATCATGGGAACAATTGGAAACGGAAAATCTTCACCATATCCTTTTGTTCTCAGGAAAAACCTTTCTCGTGGAACA